TGGGGTGATTCTGAACAACTTTTCCCTTTGCAAAAAAGTTGTTTGAAGCTTCGATTTTGAATTATTAAGGAAAAACACTGACCAAACCGAGCGCATGCAGCGCGCGGGCTCAGGGACGGCAGCGTCGGCAACGAAAGCGGGGCTTGACGTAGGTCGCGAACGAACGGCTCGGCACCCCGTTGGCATAGCACAATAAAAAAATTAAACTGGTTGAACATTTTTAGTTGTTGTTTAAAATGAATATGAATCTTGTCGACTGTCATAATGTAAAAAAGGAAATTCTAAACATTATAAACAACAAATACAAATGTTTGAAATGGGATAATTAATAAAAAATTTAAAAACAATTTAAATAAAACTTACCCATTCGTTCCTAAATTAATCTGCTATGCTGAAAGCAGATAATTCCTACTGTGTCGATCCTGAACATTCGAAGAGGGAACAAATGACGCAGAACAGCTGATCTCCAGACGAGACCATTGAATCCACTCAACCACACGGTCGCTGTCACCTTTCACAGAATTTTCTTTCAGGTAAATAAACATTTTTATTCACTGTCACGTTGCTACTGCACTGGACACAAATGAAAAAAATGTAATATTCCGCACTACTTCGTAATGTCTTCACGTCGTTATTGGTCCTCCTTTCCAATTTCAAATGGGACTGTCAACTTGACTGTTGCGAGGTCTGTTTCGTTTTTTGTCTTTTTCTACATTCAGAAATAGGTCATGGTTCCTGATCATAAATCTGTTATTCTCGATAACTAAGAGTAACCGAGAGAGACTCGTGTCGACTTTTTGATGTCACCGAATATAGAAAAGGACAAAGAGCGAAACAGACCTCGCAACATTCAAGCTGGCAGTTCTATTTGAAGTTGGAAAGGAAGAAACGTCGTGAAAACATTACGGAGTAGTGCGGAATATTACATGTTTTTTATTTGTGTCCAGTACAATAACAACGTGACAGTGAATAAAAATGTTATTTACCTGAATGTTTATTTACCCGGGTTCAAATCCCCACCTAGTGTGAAATTTTTTGTTTTCGGTTTATTTACTCCAATTAATTGGAATTCAATTGCATATGCAATGATACTATTCATGATAAACAAAAAATAAAAATTGTATGCAAATGCAATATAATAAATAATTAAATCAAAGCACACTTCGTTGATTGTGCCTAAAAACAAAAAAAAGCATAAGATAAAAAAGCCATGCGATACATATGAAATAGAATAGGTTGAAAAATAGGATGAAGTACTTACAATTATTATTAGTTACAACAGTGATACTTGTTGAAACAAACAGAACATAAATGAGAAAAACATCTTGCACATCTCATAAATGCAGTTTTATTGCATGCACATTTGCTTTTCTGTATTTCTATGGGAAAGCAGACCTGATTAATACAGGATTGCCTCTGTTGGATTATTCAACAATAACCCTTATACAAAAATGAATCGTTGAGAAGCACTGTCTTTTGTGTATCTACGATAGCCTGACTAGCACCATCAGGTCTAAGGGCCTGTGACTGTTTACTGTTAGAGACCAGTGTAATAAACACGGTATAGACGAAGTTTCTTTCTTCAAGTTGACGGCAGATTTCCTTTCGGGGGTCTGTGCGTTGCCTCACTTCCAGTTTGAATTTCACAGAGTGAACATCTTTCTAAGCCAGTTTATAAAATAAATTCAAAGTATTAAAAAGAGACTAAAAAGACTATAATCATTTACCCCATAATCCAATAGCATGGAAATAAGCAAGTTGTCTTTGCTTCGAAATATGTACATACCAACTCGCTATCCTCTCTTCTTTGTTTAAAGTCGCTCTCAAAGTGAGAGGTCCGAAAAATAAGTGAGGTCCGTTTGCCGCTACCTCGGATATCTCTCACTCGTTTCTACGAGTGACGTATCTTGACAATCTCCCATTCGTCAAGCCGAATAGCATACCTGCTTCGTAATAAGCAACTGTTCGGTCCCGAACGAGTTGCTTATTTCGAGGCAATCCTGTATTTGTTTTCAGACAGTCAACGAAGTGTGCTTTGATTTAATTATTTATTATATGACATTTGCATACAATTTTTATTTTTTGTTTGTCATGAATAGTATCATTGCATATGCAATTGAATTCCAATTAATTGGAGTGAATAAATAAAAAAAAAAAAAAAAATTGCACACCCGGCGGAGATTTGAACCCGGGTCGTTCGCGTACGCGTCAGATACGTTACCATTTCGCCAATTTGCTTCTTGCGAGAACCTTTCACTAAATCTATATTTCCAGGTATAATGAAACTTCGAACATAAATATCTAAAAAACTACTGACAATGAGTATCTACACCTATAATGATATATATTCGTAAACAGGAGAACGGGATCTATAAGTGTATGAAGTTTCAACTAAATCTGTAACCCCAAGAGCTTGCCTTCTCCTCATTAGAACTAAAGAATATGAATACATGAATTGTTAGAGTATACTGCATAATACCGCGTCGCGTGGTCTAGAACAATGACATCCCTGTAACGTGTACGCGCGTAGACAAAAACGTGTTCTCGCGTCGAGCGTGTTACGGGGAAAACGTAACGTTGATCACTAATATACCCAACGGACGGGTTCCGTAGATACTCCGAACGAAAGGGAAAGGGTTTTTGAAATAAAACTACAGAGGTCCTGCGTTCTTACTGTCAAGACAAAATCTTCGGTTCGTTTTTATATCTTCGGTTGCTAGGTTCGGGGTGTAAAGTTCAAAGGGCTTGGTGTCTCATCTAGTTGGCGAAAAATGACTCAGTTAGGTTGAAGTGCGAAGGCTATTATTGTTTAAGGTGGCTAATACTGTTATCGGTGACGAGTCGTCTGTCTGACCGTTACAAGTGTTCGTCCAAGAAGAAGGAAACAGGCAATGGCGTCTAGCGTACCGGTTCCTGTGATGGAAGGGGGGGATTAGAATAAAGCATGCCTGCGAGGTGCTACCGCCTTTGGTAACGATGCACCGGCGAACTACTTTCGCCAACAGGTTCATTTCGCTACTTTAGAATCGCTACTTTCGCCAACAAGTTGAAAAGACCTAATTTCGAAAATTAAAGTTTTCAAAACCTGAGAGTGATGGAGAAAAATTATTTAAGTTGTGTAATTAGTATATGAAAATCTACGACCATCATTTACTGGTTATTGCAAACCATAAACAATAATGTTATTATTCGACACAATTAATTTCAAGCCTAGAAAACTGTTCTAAAATTTGATTTTCAAATTTCTTACCAACTCTACTTGCTTTTCATTATACGTGGGCAATCCAGAAAGTAAGTTCCGTTAAGCAATTAACCAAAGGGAAACCATTATTAGAAAAACACTTTTATTGCATAATGAAGTACAATGGCTAGGTTATTTATCAACATAGTTGCCACCATTGTTGAAGCATTTATCATAGCGGGGCACGAGCTTTAGTATGCCGTCGTCGTAGAAAGGTGCCGCCTGCGATGTCAATCATATGGTAACAGCGTTTATCACCTCATCGTCTACCGTGAACTGCTTGCTAGAAAGAAACGATTTAAGGTGCTGGAAAAGATGATAGTCATTTGGTGCTAGATCGGGGCTGTAGGGGGGGTGGGGGGGTGGGGGGGGGGGGGTCAAATCGATTGTGACGCAAGAACTCTATACGGACTTCCACTCGGAACAGTTTGCCCCCCCCCCCCCCCCCCCCCCCCCCCCCCCAGTCCCGATTTAGCACTAAGCGATCATCATCTTTTCCAGCACCTTAAATAGTTTCTTTCTGGCAAGCAGTTCACGGTAAACGACGAGGTGAAAAACGCTGTCACCATGGTGTAACCATGATGGTTGGCATCGCCGGCGGCATCGTTGTACGACAAGAGCATACAAAAGCTCGTACCGCACAATGATAATTGCTTCAACAATGGTGGCAACTATGTTGAAAAATAATCTAAGCATTGTACTTCATTATGCAATAAAAGCGTTTTTCTAATAATGGTTTCCTTTTGTTTAATTGCTTAACGGAACTTACTTTCTGAATTGCCCTCGTAACAAGTCACACAAACTTTACAATTAATAAAAGTAACATAACGTAACTCAAGAAAGCGATTCGTAGATACTTGTAACACGTTCCGCATTAAAATCGCACCCTGTATCTTGGGATGTGACGGAAATACCAGAACATAGTTTAGATCATAATATAATTCCTTCGTTTTTACACAATCATTAAACTTATTTTTTAAAATCTAATGATAAGAAAGATATATCACAGTTTCTAATAAATGTAGAAGTGTTGCATAGTGATATCTCGATGCTACCACATATTTAAAATGTTCAGCCTGTTTTGCTATTCATACATAGTATAAATATGTGAAGAAAATGAAAAGATTCAAAAATAACAACAGAAGAAATTTGAAATTATGTTTCTCAATTACTAATACTATATTTACTGACACTCCCCTATGGTGTTACATGAAATGTTTCCCAATTATTTTGTAATAAATTGACTATAATATACTACGAGTTTAAAAAATATGTACCCAAAAGATCTGTCTTAAACAGTTAACAAATTTTATACTTATAATTAGATATCTACACATTATTACATTATACACTTTTGTATGTTTATTAATTAAATTTTAACATTCTGAAATTCACGTTAGATATCAAGATTTCAAACTTTTAATTTACCACTTTTCTATCCTACCACATACAGAAGAGCAACTTAAATCCATGAATGTTGAATTTTGTTGTAAACCATTCCTTAGGCTTTGAATTACTGCAATAAGCTTATTGTTCGTTTTCTGTTTTCATTCGCCACAAGGAACTCTTTAAGAGTATAAGACAGTTATCTAAACCAGGATTGCGCACAATATTACCTGTAGGTTGCCCGAATGTCCACGTGTTCGTTATAGTATCTCGTCCACTCTACTGCGGTGTTCTTTACAATAACTTTCGATTAACTGAACCGGCACCCACTTCTCTATTTTCTGTATTGTTATCATTTTTTATTATTTTCTAGCCTGGACATAGAGTACCTCGATTTAACATAGTAAATTGGGGAGTATGTACACCAGCTTCATGCAGCTTCAAAGATGTTGAAACATCTGTTCGTGAAATTGTTACAAGGTATACCTCACAAACAGGTCTCAAGGTTACAGTGAAGGTGAACAAAGAAATGTGCCAAGTAAAAACAGAATCTATTCCAAAGGATACGATGTATGTTAGGTATGCAGTATAAAATATTTATTGAAACTAACTTTTTAATTATGAAACAATTTTTATACGATACTGTTTTTTTTTCAGTTTATTGTTTATAGCCATATTTTTATTAACAGTCATAGCAGCATACTATGATCATTACAAAATATCTACTAATGAGCTACTGCTATGTTTCTCTTTAAAGCGTAATTACAAAAAGCTTGTATCATTAGAACGAAGTCCGGATGACATACCTACACTTCATGGCGTGCGAGCAATAAATGCTGTGATGTTGCTTTTAGCTCACAAAAGCATGGCTCTCTTTTTTAATCCTTATACAAATAGAACAGAAATGAGTGAGGTATGATTGCATTATTTAAAGACATACTGAATTGATTTAACAGCGAATACAATATATTTGTAGTACCTTGGTAAACCATGGACTGTCATAGGAAGAGCAGCTAGTCTTTACACTGACCCATTTATAATGCTTTCTGGACTTCTAACAGCATATTCTTTTACTGGAAAATTAAAGAAAAATGGAAATTTAGATATTAAAAATGAATATATATCTCGTCTTATCAGGTAATAGAGATACAATTAATAATTAATATCTTGCTTTGTATCTATGTTTATTTCTCACTGTATACTAATCTTTCTTAGACTAGTTCCATCTTTAGCTGCAATAATGTTGTTCTGTACTTATATCATGCCTCACATTGGTTCTGGACCACAGTGGAACTTAGTGGTAACTGAACATGCAAATATTTGTAAAAGAACATGGTGGAAGAATTTTCTATTTATCCATAATTATTTTGGATTTGAAACTATGGTATGAATCTATATTGAATTTTACACAATATACTATTGGAATGTACTAAAAAAATACTTCTTTCATTTTAGTGTCTTACACATACTCATCATTTAGGTATAGATACTCAACTTTTTATTTTATCACCTGTTATGGTGTTCCTTCTTTACAAAAATCCAAAAATTGGAACTATTATACTTACCATTTTTGCTATATTCTCAACCGCACTCCGATATTTTGTAATATATTATAAGCAATTAAGTAACTACATCTTCTTCGGTACATCGTAAGTTAATAAATTATAAATTTTAGTTTTATTATTCAGAACATTCTACATATATTTTTTTATTGAAAATCGTGTTTATATTCACAGAATTAAACAATTATTTGAAACTGCAAATTACTCATACACTCTACCATCGCATAGGTTGACAGTCTATATAATAGGAATTTTTGTGGGTTATTCATTAAGATATGTGCATAAAGATTATAAGATAAATAAAGTAAGTAAAAATTTTGTACTTTAACAGTTGGCGTGACTTTTTCAATGTCTCTTAATTTTACTAACAGTACGAAATGTTTAATGTTGTTTAATTCTAATTTGCTTCTAATATTGTTCAATTCCTTTATTTATTTATATTAAAGTACAATTTTATGGAAAAATTTTAGTGTCCTAAAATTTGAGAATTTGAGAATTTTTAAACTATGAAATTTTGAGATTTTGGTAATTTTAAATTGTGGAATTTAAAAATTTGTTAATTTTCATATTTTAAAATTACGGAACTCTGGAACTTTTTAATTTTAGAATTTCAGAATTATAAAACGGTGAAAGGTATCTGGCCTCATTTGTGAGAAGAAGGGGTGCCTAGTTATGCTAATGATCAAAACAGTATAAAATTTATATGTAATTTATGTTTTTATACCTGTAGATAGTGCTATACGCAGGTTGGATTATAAGCACAATAATGTTTTGTTTTGCATTTTTTGGACCTGCACATATGGGATCTATAGATTACATATATAACGCAATAGATGCAGCAATGTACAATGCGTTTGCTCCTATTGGTTGGTGTGCCATTTTTGCTTGGTTAATTCTCTTGCATTACACTGGGAACACAGACGGTAAATATCGTTATGAGACATAAGTGCACAAGCAACATATACATTAGTGAAATTAATTCTGGACACTTGGCATAAAAATATTCTTTCTTTCATATTTGTGCAGTAAATGTATATTCTGCTATGCTCAATTGATACCGTAATATTTTGTATAATGTTTATACTTAATATTTTCACATGATTTGGTTTGTAAATGTTTTAAAATTTTAATTTAATAAAATAATTTTTAACAAAAAATACAACCGGCTTCAAAATGCGCTAAAAAGTGTGAAATAATTTATATTTTGTTTATACAACTACGTGACAATTATCAATAAAACCTCTTGCTGCATTAACAAAATGCACTAAAAAGTGTAAAATAATTTCTATTTCATTTATACCAGTATTCCACAGCTATTAATAAAATCTACTTAATCGTTAAATAGGATACTAAATACATTTCAACCTTTTCGGAGGAGGCGCAAAATTAAAAATACCCGAATATACGATGCTGCCAACAACGATTTGATTGCGGTATGGCGAACTTAGTAATTAATAAGTCGTATGAAAAGATTCGAAACGTTATAGATACGGCAGAAAACATTTATGATTGTAACGATTGTGTCAGAAGTTGGCAGCACTTCTGATGTACTGTTCGTTGCTGCTAATTGTAAGTTACCGAGCACCAACAAACTGGAATGATAGAGGGGCAAAGGGACTGTGCGTTCGCTCCACCTAATCCCCTCCAGGAACCCGTAACTTGAGAAGTCAGCAGTTACATTGCATAGGCGCAAAATTTCCATATTCACGGGAGATACATTTAACTATATAAACATGCGCTTTTTTTATAATACTCGTTCTTGACAACAGTTGTCATTATGCAAAATTTATAGAAATTGCATTATGGAAAGTGTAAAAACTTTCCTGATTTTTTAATAATGTAAACCCCGAATCTACGTCTACGTCAATGCGTCCAAATCGTCGCTCGCTATCGCTTCATTTCATTCTGTTTCAATGTCTGTCCTTAGCGACGTTCGTGTCCTTAGATTTGTGGATGTAAGGGCCTCGGCCAATAAACATAATACGTGTGACTGGAGGCAGGTCAACGAATTTGATTGGACGGCAACTTACTAGTAACGCACAGTACATGTAGTTAAGGGGGTAGACACGGGTAATGCAGCGAGGTGATATCACTGGCAAAAATGAGCCTATTAAGGGGTTTACGGGAATCGGTTATTTGTCCTTATATCAGAAGACTTGGGGCTGGGTGAGGGCTCATTTGAAAGAGGAAGGTCCAATGCACAACTATGGTTTAACGAGATTGTGTCAATATTTAATAAAATGAGTGTACAAAGTAGAGGAAAAAGTCGACAAAATGCAGTCGCGGAATCGAACCATTTTTAGGCCACTAAAAGAATTTTGTGACTCAAACGGTGAGTTGACCGCCCTGCATTGAACCTTCCTCTTTCGAATGAGCCCTTATTCAGCTCAAGATCTTCTTATATAAGGACGAATAACCGATTCCCGTGATTGCATTCCCACAGACGAGTTCCGCCATTATCTGGATAATACAGAGCAAGTCACGTGACAAATTTAGTTCAGCTAGTAGTTATAAGGTGGCGTCTAAGTAGAAAGGCTGCCGATTTGGAATCGTAGCCAGAATCAGGCGTTAGTTTGATTATGTCACTCGAGCTGTGCTGCGAAGGCAAGCGAAAAAAGCAACAACGCCCGAACGCTGACTGAGACGCACTACAGTCATGCTATCCTTTTCTCATTCTGAATGTTGAGATTGTCCCTTTTCGCTGTTTGGACTATCGCCCGCCTGGATTTTTCACAATGCCCCATAACAAACCTCACCCCATTCAAACTATATCGTGTTTGGTATCATTTTGATCAGAAAAATTTTACCAATTCGCTAGTAAAAGTTTCAGTAAAAAAAAGTCAAAAATAAAAAAGTTTCATAATTGAATTAGTGTTAGTCACATCGATACGTTTCGACTCTTTCCTTCGATTATTGGACCTGTCTCTCTCCTCCACTGTCTGTCCCTTTCTACGTTCACGCTTGGCTGGTCGTCGCGTGTAACCCGAGATTCGACACCTTGGCTGGATATATGCAACGTCTGGGTCCCAATCTCTGTTGCATATATCCAGCCTTTATCTGTAGTACTATTTAACGATCAAGTAGATTTTATTAATAGCTGTGGAGTATTGGTATAAATGAAATCGAAATTATTTTATACTTTTTAGTGTATTTTGTTAATGCAGCAAGAGGTTTTATTAATAATTGTCACATAGTTATATAAACGAAATATACATTATTTTACACTTTTTAGCGCATTTTGAAGTCGGTTGTATTTTTTGTTAAAAATTATTTTCTAATATTTAGTCTACCACCTTTGATGTGCTGAAATTGTAATTTTTATTGTATATTAAAAGCATGGCTGTAAGTAAATGGTCTTTTTACTGATTTAGAATACAAAATATAAATGATTATATATTAAATAATTTGAATAAATGCGAAATTTAAGTAAAAATGTAAATGTCCAGAATTAATTCCACTAGGATGTCTTACTAATTTTGTTACAAGGCAATATCTCCGTTATTTTTTGTAGTACATGTAAAGGCTAAAAGAACAAATTATTTGATTTGAGAAGGCATGGTGGAAATAATTCCTTCTTTAAGATTATATTTTTCGAGATGTCAGAGTCATTAATGGCTTTTTGTCTGTTACATTTATTATTATGCTATGAAGGCTGAACTCAAGACAAAATCAATGAGTTACGATATTAAGACCTCTACGTGACCCTGAATGCCTAAAATTTAGAAATTTGTTGAGTTTGATACGAGTAACGAAATAATTACAACAGAGAAATTAGCGAAAGAAAAATTACATGTAAGGAACATTGCTGATTTTGAAAGGGTATAGCCGGATAAGATGGTCAAAAGTGCCCCCAAATCAAATTCGACTTGCTATGAACCATTCGATAGGTGATAAAAAAAAACCAGTTTGTGCCAAGTTTCAACCCTATATCTCATCTGGGAGAGTAGTTACGGGTAAAAATGATATTGCGAGGTTTTTGGCCAATTTCTCCCATTTAATGACATTCGAAAATTCTGAAAAAAATCAGAGACTTTTCTATTTGTAAGGCACATATTACAGAATTTTTTCAGATTTGTAGATTGAAAACTGACGCCGTGAAAAATCAAAAACGTCAAAAAATGCTGAAAAATGGCGATTTTGTATTGAAGGAGATGAGGTCCTACGATTATATTTTTTTTATAAGTGTAAGCACATTATTGATACTATCATCCTCAATTTTTTTCAGATTTTTTGGAGAGGTGCGCCATAGTTAAAAAAATTAAAAACCGATTTTTTCGCTGTTTTTTGCATATTAGAGTTACTTATTCAACGAATTTTCGTCCTTGAGAAAAAAATTATTCGCAAGATAATTATGTACCTTCTTGAATCGAATAACTTGTTCTTTTAATATTTTCGCTTTGTATAAAAAATAACAAAGATATCCTTTTACAACAGAGCTTATGATGCAATCTATATATGCATTAATTGGCAATTTTCAAATAAATTAAAATGTATACAAATTTTCAGGTTGGCTTAGTAAATTTTTATCGTGGAGAGGGTTTTTGATTACCACGAGGATAAGTTACGCAGTATATTTGACCCAATTTCCAATATATTTTTATAATGTGGGAAAAACCCGAAGTGCTGAACATTATGAATTTTTTAGTATGCAAGTAAGTTATCATGTACTACTTACACAGATTGTCTCAGGTGGGGGAGAGCAACCGGGCAGATGATGATTCTATAAGCAAAAATAATCTTGTAACCCTTTCGGTTACGGGGGTACGGGGCTGACCGAAAACAAAGAACACCACTAGCGTACACTTAAAAAGTATGTATTTCACCTGTGCTGACACTATCATAAAGCTCGTACACGGGTAACAAGACTCGACCCGGTGTTACGGAACTGAACCGCGTGGAGCAAGGATTGCCACGTGGACCGAATATGTCCTCACAAGGGAGCAAGGTCAGAGCCAGGGAGAGGTTGTTGTCCTTTCCATGTCCATTCAAGGGAGCGTCTTTGAAGCAGTGACCCGTCTTGTCCATTAAAATTATGCGTCAGTGGCCCTTTTTATCTTCGCGGGAGGTCTTCGGCCAGCGCGAGGGGTGAAGTGGCGGAATCTATCGCACATGCGCACAAGGCTGGACTCGATAGCGGAGGTGCATGCAAGGCAAGGTGGCGAGGATGCACGTCTGGTGGCCGTTCAGTACACTACCTCCCTTACGCAATGCGCTACAAACTGAAGAATACATTTTTTTTCGTTTAAGCTTTTTATTATGGTAGTTAAGGGGTACAACCCATTAAGGTGTAAATAATGACTATAATATCGTTCTTCTATGGTAAATAATTTATTGTCGATTTCATTAAAAATTTCCAATTCGTTCTCAAGATACTTAAAAAAAAAACGATTTTTCAGGATAACCTTTGATGGTGGTTTTCAATACTTAAATGAACAAATTAACAGAATAAACAAATATTTGTCTAACATTTTTTTATGTACTATAGCATGTCACAGAATAGAGAAAATCAACGAGTACACCTCGGGTACTTTTCTTGTAAATGCACGATACTCGACGAATTTTCGAATTCAATTTTTTCGAAAAGGAAAACGAAAATAATTGATCCTTTTTTCGACTTATCTTTGCTTATAGAATCACCCCTAATCCAGTTGTACTACCCGACCTAGGACGCTCTGTATATCAACACAAATATATGATACACAGACAGATATAATATTACAATTCATTCGTTTCTTTACAGTTTAACCTGAATGAATTTTTATGGATTCTTGTTCTATCAATAACTCTTACCTTACTGATTGATACGCCAATTCAAAATATCAAAAATTATATGTGGAAGAACTCTTCTGTACCAGAAACTGCGACGAAACTAATGAAAGTACAATAACTTTGTTCTGCCAAATATTCATTTAAACAATCAAAACTATTGTAAATAATATTTAAAACCTTCGCTTTATTTTGCAATTAAAATCTCTAGACTTGCCCTCATTTATAATGATAGTTAAGATGTGTAATTTATATAAATATTCTCATGATTTATATAAATACTTGTAAATATCTATATTTGTAATTTTAATTTTTATATATTTAAAAAATACTATAAATCTCACATACATGTGTAAAAAAATGTACCTAATTAATTTAATGCAGTGTTATTTATTTGAGAATATCCTTTTCTTGTAGTTATTTCATGTCAAAAACTGTATTTTGAAATATCTTTTAATAAAAAAAAAGGTTCTATTGTAAATACTATTTAATTATATATTTATATTGTACAAGGTGTCCCAAAATTAGGTCGAATCCCATGGAGGGTTGATTGCTGAGGTGATTTTAAACAACTTTATCCTTTGCCAAAATGTTGGTTAAGGCTTCGTTTTCGAGTTATTAACGAAAAATCCTGTCCAATCAGAGCATGCGTATAGCGGTTAGGTTAGGTTAGGTTAGGTTAGGTTAGGTTAGGTTAGGTTAGGTTAGGTTAGATTTGTTTGTTTTCTTCGGAGAAACACCGTTTGGCGACGGAGGCCTCACACTTAGCTCGTCCTTGGTGGCTTACCGCCTAGTCCTTATTGTTGTGCCCGGCAACGAGCACATGGGTCATCGTACGACCATCGCCCGGCTAAAGAATGTCCGAAGCAGCAGTACATACCGATAGCGAAACTCTGCAAGCTAGCAGAGCACGCGCCGGGCAGCACGACCTTTTTTGGTCATTCGCACGCAACGCGACACATTATAAAAGAGCGAACAAATGTAAAGACAGACAGATTGTAAGAAGCTCGTTTTCGGTAATAAACCCTCGACTGTTACTCGAACACCGGTGAATTCAAATTCTTCAACCGCTCCAGAACCCGAAATCCCAAAATTCGCCTGAGGGCACAACATTATAGATGAAACGTAATCTCACTAGTATATAGCCACTGTTACTGCCTCCTTATATGCTGGGCATATTGTTATGTCCCACCTTATGGGTGGTTCTTCTATTAATACTATGATATACGGGTTCTGTCGATTAAAGCGCTAAAGCGCACCTTGACCTAACTTGCGAGTGATATAGAATACAGGACGGGGGTGCGATGATTTGAATACACGTGTATAGATATTCAAAGGTATATATTCTGGTTCTCTTATTACATACCTTTCGTTGTTTTCGGGTGTAGCTCGTATATCCTCGTATCACACTCGTTGGTCATTCACACTTTAGGTCTCGCCTTTCGCTTACTGTCGCGGATCGGATACGACACTAGACTCGCGGCGCATAGCTACGACTCGACCTTGGAAGATACAAGCGGTTAGTGATGGTCCTGCACAGTACACGGGTGCACTCCTGGAGCTTGTCCAATTATGGGTCTGGTATCTCAGACCACGGCGATATACTCGTGTTTTGAAACTCCGAATTTTCCTCGAAAGATTTGCGGAATTAAGACGAGTTTCCTTTCAAACGCTGCTTATTGGAACGTGAAGCAATTCGAGGGAAGCCGTTTTCGGGGAATCCCTTTAAACGATGCACGCGAGATTCGTAGACGGTTTTAATCCGCAACGGAATTCGGTGAAGAAACGTGTTGTAATGAGACCGTATTTTCTTTTCATCAAATGCCGACTAAGAGAGAGCGAGGATTCCCGGAATCGATATATATATATTTCGCCGTCTCGCCTCGCCCCCCAACAGGTGCCGAGCCACTCGATCCACCCGGGGGAACCTGTGAGCAGAGGGACGAGAGGTGGGGAACCGCGAACCTCGCTCGCTCGTTAGTTATAGTTTATTTTTCAAGCGAATAAGAGAATATGGTAAATACAAATAGAAATTGTACAGTTCGATAGAATAAAATAATTAATTGTAACAAAAATGTAGAATTAAACTAAAGTAATAGTGTAACAGAAAATAATATTAATAAAGGTGTGAAAATCTCAAACATGCCGCCCGCCTCATTGTCGGGACAGCTTCCAAGAATCGGCGATTGCTAGTTCGTAATAGACGTATCACGAGACGGCTTCTTAGTCGACGGGAGACTTTCCGCTTCATTCGGCGTCACGAGTGGAATCAGCCGAGTGATTGCGCATGTGGTTAACCTGGCCGCTGTCTGGACGGTCGCCATACGTGTTAGTCCGTCCTTTCCATTGTGGACCATCACGACGCGAGCCATTGGCCACTTAGTCGGAGGTGTAGCGTCCTCCTTGAACAACACGAGGATGCCGGGTTGGAGGTTAGGACGTGTTTTCCGCCACTTCGGGAGGTGTTGCAATTGACCTAGATACTCTTTGCTTCATCTACGCCAAAAATGCTCAATTAACTTTTGCACGAGGGACCACCTTTTGTGACCTCCGTCGAAATTTAAATTTTCCGGTGATTCCGGAATCGTTGACAGTGAGTGACCCGTAATGAGGTGATTCGGTGTAAGTACGGAGAAGTCTTTGGGGTCGTCCGTGAGTGGTGATAAAGGTCGTGAGTTTAGACACGCTTCCACCTGGCAAAGTAGCGTCGTCAGTTCTTCAAAGGTCAGCCTGTAACTCTCCACTGACCGAAAAAGGTGCCTTTTTGCGGATTTCACAGCCGCCTCCCATAGGCCGCCAAAGTGAGGAGAGTATGGTGGAATGAAATCCCAATTCGTCTCTTCACTGGCGATTAGCTCAGCAACCTCCCTGTAAAATTCAGACGCTCGTTTAAGCATGGATTTCAGTTGAGTATCTGCACCCCGAAAGTTCGTCGCGTTATCGCTCAAAAGGTGAGTACAGCGTCCTCGTCTAGCGACGAACCGTCGGAAGATCGCAATAAACGCGGACGCAGATAGGTCGGACACTGACTCCAGGTGGACGGCTTTGGTGCAGAAGCAGACGAAGACGGCGATGTAGCCTTTGACCGTCTTCTGCCCGCGGCCCTTTGACATGCAGAGGGTGATTGAACCCGCATAGTCGACCCCGTTGCGAAGGAATGCCCTGACAGGCTGGACTCGTGAAGTAGGTAAGGAGCCATTTGTTGCGTACCCGTGTTGCCTTGGAATCTCGCATACCGAACGCAATTCCTTAGAACTCGTTTGAGAAGAGTGCGGTCCTGCGGAATCCAGTAGATCTGACGGACGAAGCTTTGCTTCGACGTGAGGCTTCCATGAAGGGTCTGTGCGTGTGCTGCCCGTACAATTAGCTTGGCCAAGTTAGACTGACGGTGAACAACGATTGGATGTCGTTGATCGTAGGTAAGTGTTTGCGAAAGCGTGGTCTGAGAGGGCGGAGAGTGAGACACGCACCTTGATTAAATTAATAAAGTTTTATTTACACTATTTACAATTATACGATAAAGCGCAATACACATAAATGAGCGTGGACAGAGAAGAACTCGAACCGCGCTCGTAATTCTCGCGTGGACCGAAAAGCACGTGGTAACACGGCGAGCGTACGAACAAGAAGAACACGATCGATTATGGCGTCGATCGTGCCGGCAAGCGCGTGGAGAGGGGATCGCGTGGACAAAGTGGGCCCGAGAGGTGCTGCCGCTATCGGTAACGACGCACCGACGAAATACTTTCGTTGCCAACTTCGTGGGCCGAGACAATTTGGGGAATTTCGCCAACAGTAAGCGATGCATGATCCAATCTTCCATCCACGCGAATGATCCCGCAGTTATCTAAAACAGGCCGTAAGGCTAATACATTGGATTTTCTTTTAATCGGTTTACCTGTTTTTAGGTTGAGCAGTTCCTCGGAGAAGTATTCCGCTTGGCTCAGGCGGAGAATACATTTTCGAGCTTCATCCAGTTCCGTAGACGTCAGGAAACCCTTTCGTGTGTTGTTGTTGGCCCGAGAGTTCCACACGAAGCGACTCAGGTAAGCTGTAATGTGTACTAGCTTTGTCAACGACGAAAATCGACATAGTAGGTCGTTATCAGTTTCTGAATGGTTAGCTGCAATGGCGTGGGCAGACGATCGTTGCTCCGAAAGCGTGTCGTCCTGAGAATGAATGAACGACGGCCATGTGCTGAAGGGCGACTGAAGCCACGGAGGACCATGCCATCAGCGCTGATCTTCCTTCAGCATTTGCACGGTGACTCGCCTGGTTGCTAAATCCGCCGGATTATCGCCGCTATGAAGGTGACGCCAATCCACATCTGGAAGTAGTGTCTGGATTTCGACCACGCGGTGTGCAACAAAGAGCTTCCACCTAGAAGCGTGCGATTGGACCCACGACAATACCACCGATGCATCCGTCCAAGCGTATAAGGTGGCTCGCAGAGGGAGTATTCTGTCCCGAACTGCTACCATGAGCCAAGCTAGTAACAGGGCTCCACATAATTCCAAGCGCGGGATGCTGCAGAGCTTGATTGGCGCGAGCTTCGTTCTCGCGATGAGGAGTTGAACACTCGCAATGGTGGAGGAATTTGGTAAGCGCACGTAGACTGCAGCGGCGTATGCTCATTCGGAGGCGTCGCGAAAGCCATGCAGATCGATGTGATCCTGCATCGCGTCCCTGTAACTGACCCAACGTGGTAATGAAATCGTCTTTACTGCTTCCAGATCTTGTCGGAATTGGAACCAGTGCTCCTCCAAGCGGTCTGAAAGCGGCTCGTCCCAGTCTGCTCCTGACAACCAGAGATCCTGCAGGAGTGTTTTGGCGCGAATGAGAACTGGGGAGACCCATCCAAGGGGATCAAAGAGCCGAGCTGTGTGAGAGAGGACGAATCGTTTCGTCCAAATTCGAATTGTAGGCGTGTTGTCCGCTCTGGCTGAGGTAACGGTAAGCGTGTCTGCCACCGCATTCCAAGTCATACTTAGCGTCTCCGTGTCTGGACTCGCCTGCAGGAATTTATGATCCCTCCAACTAGTCAAGGTCCACTTGTCAAGGGGAAACCCGCCCGCCATGAGGATGCCAATTAACTGATGTCGAGCTTCCTCAGCCTTGGCAGGATCGTCGGCCCCAGCCAACAAGTCGTCCACATAGGCATTTCGACGCAATATGGCGGCGCCCAAAGGGAAGCGTTGATCCTCATCGTCTGCCAGCTGTTGCAGAACTCGCAGTACAAGGTAAGGAGCTGAAGTTGTCCCGTAAGTGATCGTGGTTAAACGAAAGTCTCGGACTTCGTTGTCAGCCTCATCTCTCCACAGTATGCGTTGCCAATCCCTATCGTCAGGATGAATCGATATTTGTCGGAACATCTTTACTATGTCTGTAGAGAATACGCATCGTGGAAACCTCCACCGAGTGAGCACCAGCCAGAGGTCGGACTGCAGACGTGGTCCTGACGCTAGAGCCTGGTTCACCGAAGGTCAGTTGCCTGAAACATAAGATCCGTCAAAAACAACTGTAACGGGGCGGTCTGGTCGGTTTCCCCGTGCCAGGGTTCGCTGGGGAACAGGTTCGAGAAATAACGAGGCGGTGTTAGTATGAAAATAGAAATGTTTATTCAGAATAAAGTATAGACGGGGTGAGCTATAATGGTAGTAGTGGGCCGCCGGCTGCGGCCCCGGGAGGCGTCGATGTCGGTGGCGGTATCCTGCCGGGCTCGCTACAACAGAAAAGAGAATCTAACGGTGAGCTGGCGATGGAGCCGTGTCGCGCTTAGCCTAGATGTACATTGGCTTACAAACTACGGGCGGAACCCGGTCCGTTATAGAAGTTACGCGGTCTTAACCTAGCGCGGTTCGTAGCGGTCGCTACGCGGTCTTACTGGCTAACGGCGCAGAGTCGGAGTGCGGAGTGAAAGCGCTGAGCGGAGCGCGAACGCGAACGAAAGAGACGCGGTGTTACGGCGCACGCGTGAGACGCGGAGTCGCTGGAGATCGGGAGAAGGGATGGCCCCTTCGGACCGTCGGTCTTTATTTAATTCGCGCGCTGCGATGTTTCGCGCTGCGGTAGAGTTGCTGCCCGCTTGCCTGACGCGGCTGTCTTCTCGTACACCGTGGTCAAACCTAGCAGTGAACGAGTCGACGACCAGTCCTGGCTCGCCCTGGGTCTAGCCTCGGGACGGGACGGGATCGATTGCCATAGGCCGGATGCGGTGCCGTGTAAGCTAGCGTTCGGAACCCCGCGGTCAAATCGGCCGATGTTACGGACGCGCACTAGTTTGGTCATCCTTGGACAAACCTCGGGGCTGACGAAGCTAGGCGCCTACGGCTGCTGGACCGGTTTTGAGCTGCCAGCCAGTGACGTACGTCACGGTCCGACGGCCGGTGAGCTCTTTGCCTGGACAAACCGCGACGTCGAGCCTGCCTGTGCTCCGGTCCGACCTCCTAGGAGGTCTGCTCGGGGCCGAGGCCCCGAGGCAACTCATCGATCCACGCGTCGATCGATCCTACTTATAGCCTCGCTTGTGGGAGTGGGGAGGCCGCCGCGGTGGGGGCCCGCGATGCGCGACGCCGATCCGCGGCTGTCGTCGCACAACCCGAATCTTTTCATTCCCTGACCCAATGGTTTTCTAGACTGCATGGTGAGGCAAGTAATTGGCGCTAGCAACCCCACTTGGAGGCTGGTTCCATGTGTCCCAGGCGCAGATACTCCTCCATGAGGTACGTATAGGATGTCTGCAAAAAGGAGTTCTTCTCCCATCTTCGCTCGGCGACCAAAAGTCGCTGTAGAGCGGCACGCTGAGGCACCCCGATGTCTTCGGGTTTAACCTTCAGGAACAGAAGCCGTACCACGTAGCGCGCTAAATCGTCACGTGGGTGCGCTTCCTTAAAATACTCCTCACAAGCAGTGTCTTGTGGGCTCCACGGCGGCCTCGAATGGACCTCCTCAAGCTTCCAAAATCGTTGCAGATCGTTTCGGAGATTATCTAAGCCTCGGATGAGTTGCACCCGAGCCACCCCAGAGACTACTAGAGATGGTGTTGGCCCTATTCTCCAAGAAAAGGTACCCACAAACGTCGGTTCCGAGAAATACGTCTACTTTGCGTGGTATTCTGAACTCCGGGTCGGCCAGCGGCAATCCTTGCATATGCGTCCACGGATGGTCCTCCACTGGATGAGATGGAGTCGGAGAGGTGACTTTCCTTGTCACGAGCGCTTTGAGCGTAATGCTCGACTTCGTGCTTGGTCACCCCGACGCTCTTTTCCTGATAACCGGTGAGTAGCACCCTCACTCTTTTCCGCTACAGCTGGAGTGATTGCGCGACTTTCTCGCTGACAAATGACGACTCAGAGCCTGAATCTAGTAGAGCTCTGACGTCTAAAGTGCGTCCCTCAGTCGACTCCAAGCGGACCCGTGCGGTTGCCAATAAAACCACCCGTTGAGATCGGACCGTGTAAGCAGCACTCGTGCTCTGTGCAATCGTGGTTGTCTTGGATGACAATAGTTGATCCTCCCGGAATGCATCGTGTAACAGTGTGTGATGATTGGCCTCGCAAACCAGGCACCGAAAATTCGACTTACAAGCTGCAATGTCATGATCTGAATTTAGACATACCGTACACACGCCTATCTTTTTGACCAGCGACAAGCGGTCTTGCGCGTTCATTTTCTTCAACTTCGTGCAGTGGGCAAGTGTGTGAGAGCTAGCATACGCCGGAAACGTCTTCGCAGTCTTAGGCTTGACTGTCTCTTTGACGTTCGTGGTCAATGTTATCTGAGGTCGAGCGTTCGAAACGGGTGTACGCTTGGAGCCTTCCTTAGACTGGAGAGGGGGCGTACCCACATTCGTATCCTTAGCAGAAATAATAGCATGAGCACGATTTTCCAGAAAATCCACCAACGCAACGATTCAAACGGCGGAAGCGTGGTTGGATCCACTAAAGAAGTTTCCCAGGTGAGCCTCGTAGTCTGATCCAGCTTCTCGGTAAGAAGAAACGAAAACCATTCATCCCACGACTCCACCGGTCGCTCCAATGAGGCGAGTGCATCCCTTGGTTGGCGAAACTCGTCGAGGATCCTTTTAATTTCCTGAGATGACGCCTTTGCAATGGGAGTACAGGTGAGGATACGACGCATGTGTGAGGCCGCTAAGATCCTTCCGTTACCATAGCGACGCTCCAGGGACGCCCACGCTGAATCGTAATTACCGTCCGTCATTGGAGTGCAGGTAAGCATTTTTACTGTGTCACCTGCAAGACTAGATTTGAGGTAATGTAATTTTTGCACCTTACTTAGCTTTTTCGAATCGTGAATTAGTGCTCTGAATTGATCCTGATAACTTTCCCACTGTGACAGGTCCCCAAAGAACGTGGGCAGCGAGGTCGTGGGTAAAGTCGGTTCGCCTGACGACGCTTTGCCTGAAGAATTCTCGTCTCCTGGCTTCTTCCGGTCTGCGACGAGGAGAGCAATCCGCTCCTCCAAATCCACGAGGTGCGTGAGGTAAGTATTTTCAATGGTGCTGAAAACGTCTTCCTTCAAATAAGGTGATGATTTGTCACTGGCGCCAATAATAGATTTGTGAGTTGACGAAAAATCACGCCAATAACAGCTACTGCCGTTGCTGCAGCATAGTTAGAGTAAGTTTTTCTTGCCCGGTCTTCAGCGTATTCTTCATGAAAATCTCTACACAATTGGCCAGGTCTTCTTGAGCACGCAGTAGGTTGTGGAATGACGACATCATGATGAGTCACCCCGCAGAAACTGTTCGCTAACGACACGGAAGGACATACACAGCATGCGCGTGTAAGGTCAGGACTCGCGACCGTTGGCGGTTTGAAATTCGGACCGTTTAACGGCGTGTATGTAATAAAGGATACGATTATTCTGATTAGGCGCAAGAAAATAAAGTCAGCATATCTCACAAGAAACTGTAGTCTGTAACCCTTTTTCAGCAGTTCGGAAAGTCCAGTGGGCGATCGGCCACCATTGGATCGTACTTCGATGCACTGAGAACGTAGATCGCCAAGAAATGACTGCACTCACAGCCGGAAACAACGAATCGATTCACGATGGTCTGAATCAAGGTTCCGGACGTTTAGATCCGGCTCGAAGGACCAATGTTTTGAAAACTCGAATTGTTGGACAGTGTAATATACACTTATAAAAAAAATATGAATCCTGATCCGCGATTCCTTCCATACAAAATCGTCATTTTTCCGAATTTTTTGAGGTTTTTGATTTTTTACAGCTCGGGTTTTCAATCTAAAAATCTGCAAACTAGTATTATATGTGCCTCATGAATAAAAATATCTCTGATTTTTTTCAGAATTTTTCATGCACAAATATACGAGAAATTGACCAAAACATGTGTTTTACATTTTTCCCCATTACTACTCCTCCAGATGAGATACAGGGGTGTACAGGGCTAAAACTTGGCAGACTGTTTTTTCTTGATAAGCTATCGAACGAGCCATTGTAAGTCAAATTTGGTTTGGGGACACTTTTGACCATCTCATCCGGCTATACCCTTTCCAGCCTTGGTTTGGTGTACGACTCTTATGCCCTCTGCCTCAGCTCTACCCTTCTCCTTCATTCGGCAGAGGACATCCGCAAATGAAGCCTTTTCCGTTAACCGTACCGCTATCGCCTCAGGCTATACGGCGTTGGCCCTTTTTCTCGGAAGCTGGGGGATATACCCCATCGTGCCTCCTTCTACGCTTAACATACCCTCACCAAGAATCTGACGGCTCCAGAGGGGTAAGTCCTGTATCTTTAAAACTTCTTATCCTCGGGGTTTTGGGTCCTCTGCCCGTGACCCCTTCGACCATACTGACCATACGGGTCTCTTCTCAATATTGATCGTTAGAGGGGTGATGTCCTTCCCTTTCCTCCCGCGACTACCATTTTTGGTACCACACTTGATACACACGGGGTCACGTAGGCTGCACTAATAGAGGTCCTCCTCATCGCGGTGGGACCCTGATTTCCACTTTTATTCGCTGGTGTCGTCTCATTTATCTGTGCGAACCAAGAGTCTGGTTCTACCTGTGTCCCAGCACACACACGACAGGTACTTTTACTTGTCTGCACTTGTTCAGCAGTGGGTCTCCTTCCTAGACGGGGGGGGGGGGGGGGTTGGTCTTTGTCAGATCTACCGCCACTTCTCTAATCGTACCGGTGTATTCCTCAAACTGTTTACAAGTCCCTTTAATTACAGGGCTGAAGTTCTTGGCTTTGCTTAGGTAGCTCTTTATTGTCTTATTTGTCTTAGATAGCAGGCTGGTGAGAGTGAGGTATAATAGGACTCGTTGGGCAAAAGTTGTGTCGAATAATGAATAAAAAAAGAAGAAAAGAATAATAGTATCGAATTATTGGTTGCTCATGAACAACGAATAAATTAATGAATGTTCATGTAGAATGAATAAATTGAATTCATCCAACACTTTTATTCGTTGTTTGATATGGATAAAAAAGATACTTTTTAGCGATTTTTGAGAAAAATGTGTGTTACGAAAATTGCGAGTCCGGAGAGGTCTGCTAAGGAAGCACGCTCTTTGTTGCGAACACAGTGTTTATTGCACACAGAAAATTATATTTACAATAGCGTAACAGTAAATGGAGTTGCACGAAGAAACAAGCGTGGTCACAGAAACTATATACACTTATTACTAATTACCTATCACTAAGGGATGCGAGATCAGCGAACACGTCTTTACTCAACGAACGATCGACCTGGAGTCCTAGAGAGTCCGAAATGGTGGAAGAGGTAAAGCGGATTTTAGTGAACCGGCCCATTTAGGTAATTTATGACCCGTGTCTACGAACTGAGGTGCATACGGACGCCAGTACGATCGGGCTAGGGGTGATTTTATTTCAAAAACACGGCAATGTAAACCGAATACATATTACAGTCGTAGAACCACTTCCGAAGAGCAGAGGTACTATTCTTATGATTTGGAGACTCTAGCGATTGTTGCTGCGTTAACGGCTTTCAGAGTTTATCTGTTGGGAATTAAATTTATTGTAGTAACCGACTGTAATGCAGTGCGGGCTACTGCCACGAAGAAGGACATCCAACTCAGGGTAGCCCGCTGGTAAATGTATCTTCAAGACTATACCTTTGATATTGTTTATCGTTCTGGTTCAAAGATGGTTCATGTGGATTATTTGAGCCGGAACCCAGTATAGTGTTGTGCAATCGATCTTACTGAGGCGGAATGGATTAAGGCGAAACAAATGCAGGACCCTGATCTTGAAGTAATTCGCAAAATATTGGAGTCGCGTAGTGTACGGTCAGACACTAAGCTGCCTCGAGAAATATGCTCTTACGGCTGGTGTTATCTTCCGTAAGACCGAAAAAGGCGATACGTGGGTGGTACCTAGGATGTCGCGGTTTAATGTGGTAAGATACTGCCATGATGAGCAAGGACACTTCGCGCTGGAAAAGACTTTAGAGAAGGTGCAAGAGAATTATTGGTTTAAAATAATTGGTTCAAAATATGTAGTCTTGTTTTAATTGTCTGTATTATAAATCGTCGAGTGGGCGGAAGCCTAGTTTACTACACCCTATAGAAAAAGTAGTCGTCCACTTTCATACCATACATCTTAACCATAGTTCGCAGCCATAGGAAGAATACGCAAATTCTCGCAATTATTGACGTTTTTATGTTTTGCGTACTTGAGCCTGTTCGTGACACGTCAACAAAGTACGTCAACTACTTCGTAACGTTTTCACGATGTCATTGGTCTTCCTTTCCAACTTCAAATGGGACTGCTAGCCTCAGCGTCTGCGAAGTCTGTTTCTCAATAAATCTGTTATTCTCAGTAACCGAGAGTAAGCGAGAGAAGCTCGTATTGATCCTTTCAATATAGCCGAACGTAGAAAAGAATAAAGAGCGGAAAAATACCTCGCAGACGCTCAACCTAACAGTCTCATTTGAAGTTGGAAAGGAAGACCAGTAACGTCGTGAAAACGTTATGTTGCCGATATTTCATTAGACAACGAATAATTGCCGGTCTCTTTTTCTCGATTAACTCCGCGTATTTCCACCGCTAGGTATGGAGGTAAAAGCAAGGAGGAACATTTCACACGAACAGAAATTTTATTTTTTAAACACCGTGGTGTTACATGTAAAAACTTTAGTGTTATCCCGTAGGAATCCAAAGGCGTTCTGATCTGAGAGGTTGCTCCCGGATATATTCTAATTCGCGAAAGATAAGGAGAGGTGATCGTATGATCCGGTGTTCCCTCCTCGAATGTTCAGGATCGGCACAATGACCCAGCGACAGTAAACCATTTTCATTGCAACAGGATCATTTATGGATGAATGGGTAAGTTCTATTTACATTATTTTTGAATGCTTCCCGATTTAACATGTTTATTAGTTATTCCATTTCAATCTTTTTTTTATTATGTGGAAACTTTTTTTATTCCCAAATCGTGTATTTGTTTTTCCATATTTTTTTCAAAAATGATTACAAAGTATTTTTCATTTTTAAATTCCTATCGTACAACTAATAAAAGTGTTGAATCAATTCGATTTATTTATTCTACATAAACAACGATTCATTACTTTATTCGTTGTTCATGAGCAATCAATAATTCGATATTATTATTCTTTTCTTTTTTCAACCGACTTCGAAAAGGAGGAGGTTTCTCAATTCGATCAGTATGTATCTTTTTTTTCCTGTGTGTGTTCACCGATTACTCCGAGATGGATGGACCAATCAGAACGAACCTTTTGTATCTTGTAGGGTATGTCTTCCGATTGGTTCCATTGAGAAAAATTTTTCACTTTTTCATTGTTATTGCAAAATACAGGAAGTTTTTAATCTCAAGATTGGACGATTTCAATGACCTTTTAATATGTTGTCAAGAGCATGATTCTGAACAACTTGTTCATTATGCATAATTAATGAAAAGCTTTAGTTTCCGAGATATTCGTGAAAAACTATTGTTACTACTACATTAAATTCTATGTATGTCAATGAGTCTCTGGCGGTGTATGGGTTAGCATGCAGTCGCCGATTCTTTACTGTTTCTATACATGTGTAAGGTATGCGGGGCCGCGAAACCGCGGGCCCCTGCCAGCGCGCACCGCGAACTCGCGAGGCAGCCGGCCTCGCGAGCATTAATATACCGGGCCGCGAGGCGATAGACGCCAGATCGACACTCGGAAGCGAGTCACTTTGATGAGCGATAAAGAGGCGATCAACTACGATTTTTGGGCTCCTGTTAATTCCTCCAGCAGCGTTCGGCAGGACGGGTTGTGTCTACGGCCGTCCTCCGATACAGTCCGCTGTCTCCTTGGCCACGGCCGAGAGATTTCCCTCTCTCGGCGGCTTCCCGACCGCCGGACCGGGCGTTACGTCTCTACGGCGTCCACCGGAGCACGGTCTTCTTACTGCCTGGGTGCAGGACGGGTTGTGTCTACGGCCGTCCACCCATGAAGGCATCTAACCATCGTTCCCGACTATCCGACTACCTCCGCCGTTTTCCGTACCGCACTGAAACGTTACAATAGGACGGCCAACATCCCGTCTCGCGACCGCGCCGCGACCAGACCGCGCCGTGATCGCGACCGCTCGATACCGTTAGCTTTAAGAACTGCGCCGTGACCGCGACCGCTCGATACCGTTAGCTTTAAGGACCACGCCGTGACCGCAACCGCTCGATACCGTTAGCTTTAAGGACCGCGCCGTGACCGCGACCGCTCGATACCGTTAGCTTTAAGATCGTTAGTTGGTAAGACCGCTTAGACTGATAGGATACCCAGGGCCGTAGCTTTAAGTTAGACTGTAACCATAGCGTTAAATATATCTATTTTCACCCATATCCAACCGACTTATTCATTCGTTCGCCTGAACCCTGGACTTACCGGCTGAGCCGGCAACACCCCGGCGGTAACCCGTTACACATGTATACTTTGCAAGGGATGTACTGTACACTGATGAGATGTTGCGGAGGCTAAGGAGTGACTCCTCAGTCTGTCCCGCCTAGTTCCAACGTCGTTGCGCACCTACACCACTTGACTTTACGGTGTGCAAGCGGCGGGCTTAGTAAGTGTGAGCGTTTCGACCAATAACGCGCGACGGTCTAGAATGCGTGTGCATTAGGCGTGACTAGAAACCTCTGACCAATCGTACCCGCATTCCTTAGCCTCCGCAACATCTCATCGGGATACAGTACCGATTGCGATGAAACCTTTCACATCTAATAGGAGATATTTTCGCGATATCACACTTGCAAAAATTTATGCAATTTGTTATTGTTAATAATTATCGTTATAACCAAAACCCTATTCCTTGGTGTTACTTTGCACGGAATGTACCGATCGCGATGAAACCTTTCGCATTTAATAAGAGATACATATTTCTGCGATGATCCCACTTGCAAACATGTATGGAACTTGTTATGGTTACAAACTATAGTT